GAGACAGAGAGACAGAGACAGACAGAGAGACAGAGAGACATTGGTGTGGCAGAGACCAGGAATTGAACCTTCAAACTTCTGGTGTCCGAGTCGATGCTCCAACAAACTGAGCCACACAGCCATGGCTTATTTAATTTTTAGTGTATTGTATTTATTAAATCAAATGGAGTATTCTCTGTTAATTAACTTAAGCCAGATTTCTTTATCCATTGCATGCTGCTGTTATAGGTCCCTTAAAGCCAAAGAGACGCTTACTTTAACGAATATTACAGACAAGTATGGAATTTTATTTGCATATTGCTCATACTAAGTTCTTCCTCTCTGTGGACCTATAATAATTTCCCTTCTCCAGCATGGAATAAACACCTCAGAAAAAAGTCTTATATAAGCCTGAATGTATATTTTAAATGTTCTAGGGGAAAGTACTGTTCAGAGGACTTCTGTGGCAGTTTTTTTTTTTTTTGGTTTGTTTATAGTAAAACCAAGAACCGAGATTTTTATATATTATATTTTATATATTGTGTTTGCTTAAAGTCAGGCAGGTCTGCAGACACATTGCTGTCTGTGAGGAATCTACAGCCTGTGAAGGGGAACTAAGAGGGAGTTTTCACAAAGCAAGTTGTAAAGGTTAGTGGATGCTACAAGATCCTCTGTGTGACCCAAACCCCTCTGACACATCAAAAGTGGAAACTGATTCAGAACAGCAGCGGTCACTAGATCAAGAATTCACCCTTGCTGGTCGGGTATCTCAGTGGGTTGGAGCATCGCCCTGATACACCAAGGTTACAGAGTGGATCCCTGGTCAGGCTCATACAAGAAGCAACCAATGAATGCAATAAATAAGTGGAACAACAAGTGGATGTTTCTCCCCCTCTCTCTCTCATTCTCTCTTTTTTTCTCCCTCTCTCAAAAATCAGTAAATGAAAATTAAAACAAAAATTAACTCATGGTTCCTTTACTGTGACGAGAACTCACTTCTGCACAGAGGAGCCTATTGTATTCCATCTCCATCAGAAAGAGCTTGTTTATATTGACGCTGATTCTGTCTTCCTATGACAGTTGGCTTTGATCTGCTCTCAGGGGGTCCACAAAAGAGACTCTCATGGGCTGCAAGAGAGAGAGCCCCTTCCAAGTGGAGAGACAGTTCTGTTGTCACTGAAGTTGCTCTCCTGCAGGAGTACCTGTGTCTGTGCTTGTCGCCCCCTCCCGAGCACTGCCCCAGCTGGCCGGGGGCCTCCTTGAGGCCTGACCGCCAGCCACATGGGAACACAGCTCTCAAAGTACGGTCTGACCAGCTCTCATGGGAGTTTTTTCTTTTCGTTTTCCATTTCTCCCCTATGTTCTCGGCACAGTGCTGCTCTAGAGCCAGCTGGATCTGCTTCTCCCTCCCGCCCTCCTCTACTCCGAATCACTGTGGGGGTGGGTACAGAGAGGGGAGGGACTCTTCCTGCAGCTGCGTTTCCCAGGCTCCCTGGTCAGTGGCTTCCTGTCACTGGGTTTGGCCAAAGAGACACTGGTGGGAGATTGGAGGTGGGAGGGGAGTATCTACCTCTGTGTGAGCAAACCTCCAGCAGCCACACCTACTCTGCTCCAGCTTCCCCTGGGTGTCCCCAGCCTCAGGACTCTAGTCTCCCCCTGCCATCTCTCTGTCTCTCTAGCCCACTGCTGGTCACCCGTCTCTGCTGCAGCAAACTTCTGGGCACTTCACCAACCTGCTCATCTTCTGCAGGGTACAGTCAATACCCTGCATTCAATTCGTCCTGCTCATACACTTGACTAACTACATCTACTTACATAGTTTTTGTTTTCCAGTGGACTCCAGCGCAGCGTGCTGCTTCTAGTAAGGCGGTTCGAGATTGCATGCGGGCCTGGGGATTGGCACTGAAATACCAGCTGCTGTTAGATCCTTGTACATGCATTTTCCGCATGTGCTCCCGCCATTGTGGCTATTTCATGGAAGAGGAAACGAGGCTCAGGAAAGGTATGACAGAACCAGGATTTGGGTAAGCTGCTGTCCAAACCCACCACCATGAGACTGCACTGCCCTGCTCGGCAACTTGGGACCACACTGCCCTTACCCACGGGCAGCTAAAACTCCAGGTTACATGAGCCCTTCCAGCATCTTCGGGCTGTATGCCTGGAACCCAAGCAGGACTCCCTCCGAGAGACTCATAATTCCCGAGACAGACCACTCAGGAGCTCTGTTTTACGCACTCAGTCAGCGGCACCATGCCTTCATTTTCCAAACGTTCCTGGGAGCCTCTTTTCAGAGATCTGACGATCAGAGAGTTCTGTGCTCATGCTATAAATGTCGCCTTCTATAAATATCATTTTGTGTGAGGCACCTGCTTCAGCGCGACAGCCACCTTGCTGAGAGCAGCAAGTCTCAGGGTTATGTTTTATTCCCATCTCTAGTTACAGCTGAGTTGGGATTTCTTTTCTGTTTTCTTTTTAATTTATAGCCCCAAGGAAAATGTGGAGACCAGGACACTGACCTTAACATTTCTGTAAGGTTTTCGCAGTGAAAAAATAAAGCCTATGTAAAAATGATGGCACCGATTTTTCTAGTTGTCTCAGAGCACAGACAGCTGAGCTACTCCGGGTCAAGTGTCTTGGCTCCAAACTCTGCTTCTTGGTGGGGTGGCAAGGGAGTGGGGAGTGAGGAAGCTGAGACCCCTGGGTTCAGGCTGCCTGGGTTCAGAGAGTCCCTCTGCAGTGTTCGAGCTGTGCAGCACTGGGAGACAGCTTCACCTCTCAGCGCCTCGGTTCCTTCACTTATGTCAGGGGGTAGCGGCAGTGTCTCCTCTGGCTGATGGGAGAATTATCTGGTGTGGCGGTGGTAAAGCGCACAGCACAGTGCCCCGTGCGTAGACCACAATCCACAGAGAGGCGTTACTCTTACTAATACGGCATAATCTAGTTAGTATATAATGTATGTGACACGAATTATTATTACTAGTAATAATATAATATTATCATGCTTCCATATACATATTATCTAACTTGCCCACCTGGTCAGGTGGTGGGACTCAAAAGACGCAGTAATATCAGGGAGCTCAGGTGCTTACACACACTAGTCTCTGCCCATTGTTCATTTCCTGGGTCAACAGCAGGTTTAAATGTTTACTGTGGATTTCTCCCTGCCCCCACTTGTGCTCACCCCTCTTCTGCCCTGGCTGCTATTACAGAGGCGGTCCTAGCTTGCATGATGCCGATCACTCCCTCTTTCCTGAGGTACTGCCTCCTTCCCTGCTGGGAAGTTCAACTCAATCCACTTTGTAGGCTTCTTTTCCTTTAAGTGCTGGTGATCCTTCAGGCCTCTGGGCCTGCGTAGTAGGGCTTTTTCTCCCTAAGTGCTCTTCCTTGGCCACACCAAACACCCCTGGCCTAATCGCCACCTGCAGACCGTGGCTTCCAGATCTGCATCTCTGACCCAGTCTCTAGCCTCTGTCCATCTCCATGCTGATGTCCCCCAGTAGTTCAAATGCCACCTGTCCCAAGTGAACTCATCTCCTCCACCCACTGAGATGATCAGGCCCCAAACCCAGGAATCGTCCTTCAGTCTTTTCAAAAACTTTCATTAAACATTTTTTAAGTGCACAGTTCAGTGATTTGTCAAATTTTTATAAACGTGCAACCATGATCATTTTCTCATTCCAAATCGTTTTTGACAACCACCAAAAGAAGCCCCGTGCTCATTATCAGTCGCTGCACGTTCCCCTCCCGCAGCCCCAGCCCCCACTGGTCTACCCGCTGTTTGTATGGATTTGCTCCTCTGAATCCTATGGTATGTGGTCTTTTGCACTGGGTTTCTTTCACTTAGCATGGCGTTTTCATGGAGTGTCACTGCTGCAGAATGAATCATTGCTTTTTATGGTTGGATAACATAATATTCCATTATACGGCTAGACCACATTTTGCTTATCCATTATCAGTCAATGGACATTTAGGTTTTCAGTTTTGGTTATTATGAATAATACTACCATAAACATTCAAATACAAGTTTTTATGTAGGTGTATGTTTTCATTTTCCTTGGGTAGGTTCATAAAATTGGAATTATTGGGTCACATGATGTCTCTCTGTTTATTATGAGGAACTGCCAAACTGCTATCCAAAGCAGATGCACCATTTTACATTCCCACCAGCAGTGTATGAAGATTCCGATTTCTCCGTATCTTCACCAGCGCTTGTTATTGTCGTTTTGATTGTAGCTGTTAGTGGGTATGATGTGACATCTCACTGTGGTTGTGATTTGCATCACCCTAATGACTAGTCTTTTCGGCCATATTTTCACATACTTATTAGCCATTGTATATCTTCTTTGGAGAAATGTCTATTCAACTCCTTTGCCTATTTGTAAATTGGGTTACTTGTCTTTTTTGTTGTGGAGTTGTAAGAGGTGTTTAAGAATATATTTCTGGATACTAGATCTTTATCAGATATAACCAGCGGTCCCCAACCTTTTTGGCACCAGGGACTGGTTTCATGGAAGAAAATTTTCCCATGGACTGGGAGTGGGGAGGTGGTCAGAGGCGGGGCTTAGGCGGTAGCTGTTCCTGCAGGCTGAGGACTAGTACTGGTTTATGGCCTAGGGGTTGGGGACCCTGAGATGTATGATTTGTACATATTTTTACCATTCTATGTTTCTTGATGGTGCCCTTTAAATCACAAAATGTTCCCATTTGCTGAAGTCCAATTTATCTAATTTTTTCCTCTGTCACTTCTGCTTTTTGTGCCATATCTAAGAAATATATCTGTGACCGTTTTGAGTTAATTTTTATATACGGTATGAGGTAGGGGTCCAGCTTCACTCCTCCGCATGTGTTATCCAGTTGCGCCAGCACCATCTGTTGAAAGGTTTATTCTTTCCCCATGAAATTAGCTTGGCACCCTTGTCCAAGATCAATTGACCATAAATGTAAGAGTTTATTTCTGGACTCTCAGTTGCCCTTTTGTGAGTATCACCTCCCTTGACTCTTCTCTCTCCCTCGCTCCACAGCCGCCCATGAACTGTGTACCTGTCGGGAACCCGTGCCGTGTGGTCGGATGTAGGTGTACAGTTGTGAGGGAGATGGACGTCATTCTTGCTGTCACGGACCTGGCATTCTTTTGGAAATAGATCGCAACACACGAGTAAAGAGACAAGCGGAAAAGGTGGCTGTGGATGGTAACGTCTGCTGTGGAAGACAGGAGAAGGTTGTGTGATGGAGAGCGACCATTGGAGCTTACAGAGGCGGCTACTTTGTAACGGGATGCTAGGGAAGGCCACCCTGAAGGGGGACATTCGGGGTCTGATGGGAAGTCAGGCATGCAGAGAATGGGGTAGGGTGTGCCAAGCAGAAGGGCAGAATTTGGCTGAAGATGAAACCACTAAAACACTGAAACCTGCTCGAATTCCACTTAGCACTGGGCTTTCAGTCATGGAGCCATTACTTTCCCTTGAATATAGTGTTTAAATTGTATTCTATTGATTATGCTATTACAGTTGTACTGAGTTTTCCCCCTTTGCTCCCCTCCATCCAGCACCCCCCACTCCCTCAGGCGATCCCCTCAACTTTCTTCATGGTCACGGGTCATGAGGATAAGTTCTTTGGCTTCTCCATTTCCTATACTGTACTTTACATCCCCGTGGCTATTCTGTAACTGTCTATTTATACTTCTTAATACCCTCACTTCTCACCCATTCTCCCACACCCCCTCCCATCTCTTTATCTTTAGCCTTTGGAATTTTAATCATAATGTATTTTGGGGGAGGCCTCTTTGTGTCCATCTTGCTTGAGGCTCTCTGTGCTTCCTGGACTTGCCTGTCTCTTTCCTTTACTAAATTAGGGACATTTTCTTTCACTAATTTTTCCAGAATGGATTTCCAATTCCTTGCTCTTTCTCTTCTCCTTCATAGTCACCCCTATGAAGTGAATGTTATATTACTTAAAGTTGTCCCCCAGGCTGCTTACACTATCTTTGTTTTTTTTATTTTATTTTCTTCTTCTTGTTCTGATTAATTGTCTTTTGCTTCCTTATGTTCCAAATCATTGATTTGATTCTCAGCTCCATCCCCTCCACTGTTGGTTCCCTGTAAGTTGTTCTTTATTTCAATTAGTGTATCCTTCCTTTCTGACTGGATCATTTTTTATGCTGTTAAGGTCCTCCCTAAGCTCCATGAGCATCCTTATAACTAAAGTTTTGAACTCTGTGTCTGATAGATTGCTTATCTCCATTTTGTTTAGCCCTTTTTCTAGAGTTTTGACCTGTCCTTTAATTTGGGCCATGTTTCTTTGTCTCCTTGTTTTGGCAGATTCCCTGTGTTTATTTCTATGTATTAGGTAGAGCTGCTTTGACTCTGTGTTTTTGTAACATGGCCTAATGTAGTAGGTGTACTGTAGGGTCCAGTGGTGTAGCCTCTCCTATCATGCAAGCCGGGTACTTGAGGTGCACCCTTTGTGTGGGCTGAGCACACCCTCCTCTTGTAGTTGAGCCTTGGTTGCTGTTGGCAGATCAATGGGAAGGATTTACCCAGGCCAGTCAGCTGCAAGTACTGGCTGTGACCCCTGACCACCAACCTCTGCCTTCTGTGGAGTATCGGCTGTGTAGGGGCAGGGTGGTGGTGCTCCAACATGGTCTGTCCACTGAGTGCACTGGGCCTGCGGTTTCCCAGGTGATGCAAGCCAAGGTCAGTCCCCAACGATGTTTTGACTGTTCACCCCCCGCCCTGCTGAGTTATAAATAAGTCTGAGATAACTACTACTTGTGCTGGGCCTGGAGATTTCCAGGCAAAGCCAAGCTGTGAATCTAGGCTGCTAGTTCCAGTCCTGGGGCTCACTAAGACCAGCTGCTGCTTGTTTAAGAGGATTTAGGAAGTTTCCCTGGCTGGTGTGGCTCAGTAGATTGAGTACCAGCCTGAAAAGCACAGGTTCGATTCATAGTCAGGGCACATGTCTGGGTTGCAGGCGGGGTTCCCAGTTGGGGGCGTGCGAGAGGCAACCACATATTGATGTTTCTCTCCCTCTCCTCTCCCCCCTTCCCCTATATCTAAAAAAATAAAATAAATAAAATCTTTTTTTAGAAAAGGATTTAGGAAGTTGTGACGCATGATCCAAGACTAGCTATTCATATGGAAAAGCAGTTTGGGTCGGCCTATAAGCTGGGTGGGAAGGAGTCTCTGGGCATCTCCAAGGCAGGTCAAACAGTGTTAGCCAGGTTGATGAAGACTCAGATATGGCACCAGTGTGCCAGCTCAGTGGGGTGAGAGCCCAGAAAAATGACATTGACCTCTGCTTCCCTTGATGCCAGACACCTCGGTCTCCCTCTGCATGCCACTGGCGCCCCTCAAGCTGCCTCCCCAGTGCCAGAGCCCAGAGACGGTGAGTCGGAGTAGGTGAGTCTGTGTGTGGGTTCTTTAAGAGGAACTGCTTGCTTGGTGCTCCAGCAGTTTCTTCCCCCAACTTAATCCCCACTGGTTTTTGTAGCCAGAAATTGTGCGGACTTAATTTCCTGGCACAGGAACCCTGGACTGGAGGGCCTGGTGTGGGGCTGGGTTCCTCACTCCTGAGATATCGCTCCCAAATTTTTATCCACCATGTGTGGATTTGGGACCAGCCCATTGTGCATCTGTGCCCCTCCTACCCGTCTGGAGGGGTGTTTCTTTAATTCCATAGTTGTCAGACTTTCCATTCAACTTGATTGTTGTCAGTCCTGAGTGATGGTTGTTCTGTATTTTAGTTCAGATTTTGTTGTGGCTGTGTGAAGGGGTGAGCCACGTCTACCTACGCCACCATCTTGCCCAGAGATAATTTAAGTCTATGTGAATCCAGTGTTCTGTTTTTAACAACCTATAGTATATACATGGAAATAACTGCTTATCTCCCTTACTAGACTGTGAGCCCCAAGCAGGCAGGAAGAGTTTTCGTTTAGTTCAAATTTGCAAGCAAGCATCTCTTACACATGCCACTTTTATTGCCCAAGTATAATAATCAAGAAATTTCCAAGAGATTCAGATTGTTTGCATTTCTTAGATTATTGGAAGGCTTGGCACTTTTGTGCTAAGACTCCCGCATGGCTGTTAGATCAGAGCTGAGAACTAGCAGCCTCTGGATCTCAGTTCTGAAGAAGAAACTGACACCCAGGGAGGGTGGTCCAGAGAGGATCACCTGCTCCAGGAGAAAATTTCTTACAAGATGAATTCTTGGATGATTTACAGTATATGTCCGCCCCCTACAGGCAAGTCAGTTTGTGAGCCTCTTGGATGCATCATAGGCCCAGTGCCAGAAATGACTGACTGACTGAATGAATGAATGAATACATAAATTTATACCACTCCCTCAATCCTCAATACAGTACAGAGCACATAGTGCCAAATATTTTGATTTATTTTTAAAAAGAAAAAATTAGATTGATTTTTATATTGTGTGGGTCTGAATTTAAACAAACATTTACACATAGCATTTATTGGTGGTGTGCAGTTAATTTTTTTTCTGTCCTAACTGGGCAAGTTGACTCCAGAGTGCTCAAAATCAGGGTTCTCTGTATAGCCAGCCCTTTACATTTTGAGTCCAGCAGAGGGCGACAGCAACAAGGAATAGAAAGAGAACAGCAGTTACCACTGGAATACATTCAAGGTCTTCTTCCAGGGAATGTCAGGATTGGGCCACTTTTTTCTTTTTGTTTGTTTGTTGTTTAATAGATAGACAGATAACTATCTATCTATTAAAAATAACTACCAAAAATAACTATCTATTCATACCTTTCTCCACTTTATCCAAAAGGTAGTGATAACAAAAGGTGTTCTGAATATACTGTTCTGTACCTTGCTTTTCTTTATTCATGATGCATCTTTTTAAAAAAGATTTTATTTGTTAATTTGCAGAAAGAGAGAAAGAGAGGGAGAAAGAGAGGTAGAGAAACATTGATGTGTGAGAGATGCATTGATCAGTTGCCTCTTGCACACCCCCGACTGTGGACCCTTCCAACAACCCACCCACATGCCCTGACTGGGAATTGAATGGCGACCTTTCGGTTCACAGGCCAGTACTCAATCCACTGAGCCACGCCAACCAGAGATTGTGATGTATGGTGTAGAATGTTCCATGAGAGAAATTTCTCTTTCTCTCCATCTTTCACAGCTGCATAATTCTCCATGGCATATTCATATCATTGTCTATGCATTCAGTCCCTTACTGATGGGCATTCAGGTTATTCCTAATCTTCTGCTACTACAAATAAAACTCGGTGGCTAACATTGAATATATTTTGCATGCACACACACACGAGTGTATCTATACCAGTGGCCGTCAAACACCGCTGCAAATGAGAATCACCTAGGGGGCCCTTAAAAATCCCAGCACCCAGGCCACGCCTCAGATCAATTACTTCAGAATCTCTAAGAGTGGGACGAGGGCATCCTGGTGATTCCAGTGTCCAGCCAGGAATGGGCATCACTTACCCTGTAGGGGAAGTTGACTGGTCAAGAGCACATAGATTGGTAAATTTTCTAGATACTGCCAAATGGCTTTCAGAGGCGGTTGTGCCAACTTTCACTCCCACCTGCTACGTACCCACATAAGAGGGCCTGGGTCTTCATAATCTCACCAACAAAGCAGGCTAGTCACACTTCGATTTCTGCCAACCCACTTATTTTTTAAAGTATCTCAGTCCTGCTTTAATTTGCATTTGTTATTGGATTAATATTAGGCATCTTTTTCTTTTGGTTGGCTTCTCTCTATGTGAGCAAGACTAATTCTTTGTGATTTGAGTTATAAATACTTTTCACTTTTTTGTCTTTGGTTTTTACACTTTACACATGAGGTAGTATTTTTTTCCCTTGAGGAAGATTTTTAAAAATATATTTGAAATGTATCCATCTTTTGGTATGACTCCTGAATTTTGATCATGGTTACAAGGTCTTTTCCCTTTTCAGACTTAAAATGGAATCTTCTGGAACTTTTGTGGTTTCCGTGATTGACACTTGAATCTTTGATCCTTTTGGAATTTGCCCTGATCAATGGTGTGATGTATGGATCCATTTTTGTTTTTCTTTCCAATGGCCAGTTGTCCTATTACCTTTATCAAGGAGTCAGACAGGAACTGCTTCGGGCTACCTGACATTGGAATTTTTTTGTTTTTGTCTTTAATTATAGTGTGGGGGTTCAGAGTAAGTCTCCCCAAGATGTGCCTCTGCCATGTGCTGATTGTTTTGAGCTGAAGCCAACCGTAGCTTCGGGCTCAAGAAAAACTTCTGCCCCTCCCTTAACTACCTAGAAGAACTTGAATTAAGGGCCTTAAACCATTATCAGAGATGACCTTTTCTGACCTATCTATACAGTGGGGCAAACCTCTATTTGCCAAGCATCTGCTCTTCTTAGCACCCTGCAGTAATCCTTTGACGCCTCCAAGGCACCCAGCTCAGAATGTCTCATATACCCATGTTCTCCTGCTGTCTCTGCACATGTTGTGTATGCGGGGTCCCATGCATATGTATGTATTGAATTTTCGTATTTCTCTTGCTAAACTGTTTGATGTCTGTTCGATTACTAGACCAGCTAAAAGAATCTTGAGGGTAGAGGAAAGTTTGGTCCTCTCCCACAAACAGTGACAAGAGAGCCTACTTTCCTGGAAATGAGGTTCCACCCGCTCATTGATGATTAATTGACTTATTGATTGATATGTTTGTTTGCCACTGAGAGATTAATTATGAACTGGACCTCATCCCTGACCTTTTGGGTTTCTATTCAGGACTTATTTTAATTACTCAATCAACACCAATGACCTTTTGTTTAATAGCTAATATATTTGTCTACACATATTTCAATTAAACCATAAACAAACCTACAATGTCAGTGCTTGTATTATTCCCTCCAGGAAGATAATCTCAGAGTTTCTGGGGCTTGCCCAAGGACCCATAGTTAGAGAGTGGCAGTGCCCAAAGCAATTCAAGAGGCTGATCTCCAGGACTCACCCCTTTACCTGCTTTGGCACTGTAACTGGTCTTTGTGTAATGACTGGATGAGGGAATGAATGAGTGAGCCAGTGAGGAAATGAAGACAGAATGAGTCAGCTCTTACACTCAAAGAAACCCAAAGAGGGAGATAAGACCTGAATGCAAATAACCAGAATACAAAGTAAACAGTGATCCCACCAGTGTTTTGGGTGGGATCCAAAAACAGTCCACTTTCTATCCCCTCCTATTTAAAATGCTTAATTCCTCCCAATTCTCCCTACCTAGAAACCTCGGAGCCAAATACTAGTAAGGGGATGGGGCTGTCTCCTTTGGTCTGATGCATTAAGTCACCCACTTGGAGGTTCCCCGTGGAGCTGTGGAGCTCTGCAGTTTGGGGGGGGGAGGGCACGGGAGAGGAAAGAGGGGAAATAGGGAGGAGGGAGATGCAAGGTAGAGGAGGGAAAAGTAGGGAAGGGGAAGGAGGAGAGGAGGAAGAAGACAGCTTGAGGAAGACGGTGGAGGGAGGAGGAAGGAGTTGGGGGTGAGGATGAAGAAAGGAAAGGAGGAGGGGAGAGGAGGAGGTTGGAAAGAGGAGAAGGTGGAATAGGTTGGGAGGAGAGGGGGACCGGCAAGAAGGGGTGGAGAGGAGGGGAGGGGGAGAGAACAGAAGGAAGAAGGAACAAGCAGGAGGAGGAAGGACAGAGTACAGAAGGGCAGTGGGAGGAGGAAGAGGACTTGGGAAGGAGGAAGGGGGGGAAAGAAAGAGTTGGGGGAGTGGGAGGACCGGGGTGGAGTTGGGAGGAGAGGAGCGGGAGGGCGAGGGAGAAGAGAGAAGGGGAGAGGGGATAGGGGAGAAGAGGAGGGAGGAGGGAGAGGGAGGAGCAAAAAGCCCCCTGAGCAGCCCCCACTGCGAAGTTGCGCAACCCACCTGAGCTGAGATTGGCCGCCATGGAGTAGAGATGCCCCGCCCCCAAAGCTGGGCGGCCAATGTCGAAGGGGGGGCGTGGCGGCCGCGGGTTGGGCGACGAATGGTCGGTGGGGGCCTGGGCTGTGCGGCCCGGGGGCGGTGCGGCGAGGCCTTGGACCTGGAGCGCGCTTGGCCGCACTCGCAGCTGCCGAGGCGCTGGAGCTTGGAGCTTGCCAATCCGTGTCCTTCTAGCCGCCGCTGTCGCCCACGGCGGTCTCTCGCCAGCTTTCCGCGCGACCCCGCAGTGCTCCGAACCCTGCCACTGGCCCGGAGCGTGCTTAGTTTTTCTGGTCAAAGTGTTCCCGCTGCGGCCCCGCGGCGATGGCCACCAAGATCGACAAAGAGGCTTGTCGGGAGGCGTACAACCTGGTGCGCGACGACAGCTCGGCCGTCATCTGGTGAGGAACTTTCCATTGCTCTCCAGGCCCCGCTCCCCGAGCTCGCGAGGGGCTGGTGCACTGAGCCGTCTTCCAGATGGGACGGATTAAGGGTCAACCAGTGCTGTCTTCCGCAGCCTTAACCCAGGACAGCGTGGAAAGCCAGCGCTGGCTTCTCCCCAGCCAGAGCATCTTTTAGATTGTCCTGCTGGAAGCTCAGCACCATGCAGCTACCAACGCTGATGTGTGTGTGTGTTTTTTCTTCTCCCAATCCAAAGGGTGACTTTTAAATATGACGGCTCCACCATCGTCCCAGGCGAGCAAGGAGAGGAATATCAGGACTTCATCCAACAGTGCACAGGTAGGAGGCATGCCCTTTGGGGGAATTCCTGCATTTTGGGGAAATTGTCTACCTCTCTGGGAGGAGCCTGTCGCCACCTTTTTTAACTCTGGCGCTGGAGGAACCAGGTTTGAGCATTTTAAAGCCTCATAAAGCCTTCTCCCTTCTGGACATTCAGAACAACCAGAGGTGACTTCCTGGCTTTTTGTTCCTCATTAGCTTTTCCAGGCGGGACAGCTCCTTTGCCCCCTGCGGATCACTGGTTTTCCACAGAGCACTCACAAGGTTCCAAATGCCAGTGTTCAGCCCTCCAACCTTCATCCCCTTTGGTCTGTCAGTGAGCCAAAATAAAAATCCTGGAGCTTACTGCAAGAGAAACAAGTGATCAGCTGCATCCTCCTTCCAACCATAATCATGTCCGTGTTCCATATATATATATATATATATATATATATATATATATATATATATATATAATTTGAGAATATAGAACCAGGTGTGAAAAAGTATGCCCATATGACCCCATTTGTGCGAAGTTGTAGAAAAGGCAATGTGAATCTGTGGTGTGAAAAGTCAGAATAGTGGCCATGTTTTGGGGTAGATAGCCACTGACATGGCGGGGGCACATGGAAGGCTGGGGTGGGGATGGAAAGGTCCCATATTTTCATCTGAGCGAGTATTACACAGGTGTGCACATATGTAAGAAATCATTAAGCAAAATACTTAAGATTTTTAAACTTTGTGCACTTTCCTGGTGTATGTTGAATCATGAAAAGGAAAGAACACATGGTGTGCATAACCATAAACCCCTCAAAAGAGGCAAAGGCACAGCATTCCTGGTGACAGGACCTTTTAAAGCTGACTTTGGCTAGTGGGTTCTTTCTGGCCTTGGAAACAGATATATTCAGACAAAGACAGTGTAGCCTGAAGGTTTGGGTGGGGACTCAGCCAGCCTGGTGGGTGGGTTTGAATCCTGAAATGGCCATTTCCTAACTGTGTGGCTTGGGGCAAGTTACTTCACCTCTCAGTCCCTTGGTTTCCTCACCTGTAATCTTGGAGGGCTGTTATAAGTGAGTCGTGTATGCCAAATGCTCAGGACCGTGTCCATACAAATTACACGGTCATTTGTGAAATAAATAAAAGTACAAAATCGTGCCAAGCACCACATGGCTGCTCCTTTCCTTAACTGCTCCCTTAATCAAATGGTATTTTACATTTAATCTAATTCAAAGAATATTTATGAAGTATATGCTATGGGCTGGGTGGTACTAGATTTTATAAAAAATGCTTTTCCAACTAAAGTGTCTCCCTGAGAGCTGCCTTCTAGACGTTCACTTATTGCTTTTGTAAAGGATTCATTTCGGATACCAACCACATAAAATGCTCTGACAACTCTCATTTCATAAGGCGCACAGGGCCTCTTGTGGAGAGTTGGCGGGGCTGGGATTTGGGCCCAGGCCCCTGACTCCAGCCTTCCATTCTTCCACCACCCTGGTGAATGCTTTTGCAAGTGGAATAAGTGCAAGCTCTTGACTTTCCCCATATTTTGTGCACAACTTGGAGATTCAGCAGTATTTTTTGCCTTGCCGGCTCTGAAGCTTTGTCTCACAGGCCAGCTTCCCTCCTCCCTGAACTCGAGGACAGTAAACTAGCAATTTCTTTCCTCTTGTTGGCCATCTATCACTCCCCGCCCCCCCCCCCCCATCGGAATGGGTTCCACCTCTGAAGCTATTGTTTCCTCCACCAAGTAGGAGAAGGCGACCCGGGGAAGACAGGCCATCCGGTCAGTAGATTCCTAACAGATGCTTCTGGGCAGTGGGCCTGCAAAGCTGGAAAGGCTTGCTTGGGTCAGAGAGCACTTCCTTCCTCCCTTGGGCTTTGTGGTTTTCTACTCTGAACCATCCCCCAAGCACAGGGATGGGAGTGGGGAGTGTCTGGCGGGGGAACTAAAAATGCTTTCCCTGCTGGTTGTTGATCTTATGAATGGACCATGGAATCTGAAGGCTCCGTCTGCTTTGGCTGGAAGACTGCCTTCCTTCCGCACCCATCTGTTGGACAGATATATAGGCGAGTTATGGGTGCTGTGTCTGCTCTTGTTCCTCTTGGAGAAGCTTGTTCCTTCCCCCTGCTGTGTCCCCATAACCCAGTGACAAAGGAATCGGAACACCACCTAGTAACTTTACACCTCGGTTGCTGCACTTGGCATGCCTTGTTACTGAGATTTGTTGCCCTTCTACAGATGTGTAAACCAAGGCCTAGAGAGATTAAGTGACTTGCCTGAGATCACACAGCTAAACTGGCTCCAAGGCCCATGCTCCTGGCCTCTTCACTCTAAGGAAGTGGTTTAGATTCTCATCTCCAAGCCATGAGGCTTCCTAAGTGATACAGCAGGTTCTCATCGGGGCTTGTGTGATTGCTTGCAGTTACAAAAGACATGTTTACCCACTTTTTTGATGCAGGGAGGGCTCTTTGTGGCCCTAAGTAGACTTCCTGTTTCCAGACATCTCATGAGGGGCACAAGGGATGGGAATGTCTGGAAAGCAAACCCGGTCTCTGTCTCCCCGGCTCTGGGCTGTACCGGTTTCTTCCTGGGCTCTCTCCCCTCCCTGAGAGTCCCTCCTGGGTTGGTATCTCTCAAATACACTCCTTCTCCTTCTCCTCCTTCTCCGGCTGCTGACTTCCTTCTTCCATCCTTCCCCACCCAGCATTTTCTAGAATGGAACACGCCTGTCCAGACTCCCGCTCTCATCTCTCCTCAGCTCCCAGCCTGCTCTCTCCTTGACCATTGCAGCTGTTTTTGGAAAGGCTGCCAATCTGGAAAATGGCTGGGCCCTCCTCTGCTCTGCTGACAGGATTTGGACCCTCTGTGGCCCTGCACTGGCTCTGCTGGCGTGTGGACAGACCTGGCCCTTCCTGTGCTAATTGCTCCAACACCACCTCCGCCCTTGCTTCTGCCCTGTGCTTCAGTCTGTGCGGGTGGTCAGTGGTCAGAGATCTTTCAGGTGCTGTGAGAGAAGCCCTGTGCAGATTAGCTTAAGCAAAAAAAAGAACCCCCCCCCCCCACAAAACTTGTCTGTAGCTTCTGTGGTTGGAAAGCCCAAGGGAAGTGCTAGCTGCAGGTGAGGCTGCCTGAACTCTGGCCCCTCTCCTCCTTCTCCCACCTCTGCCTTCCTCCTTTATTGCCCTTCTTGCAGTCAGGAGGGTTGCTTCTCCCTGAGTGGTGATACAGATGGCCACCAGCTGCCCCAGCTTCCAGGCCATCCCGATGGGGGAAGAGAGCCTCTTTGCCAATGATTTCAGAAGTCTCCAGGCTGACAACCTCTCCTTGGCATGGCTGGGTTCCTGTGCCCATCCTGAACTAATCCCTGGGACTCTGGCTGGCTAGGCCTGGATCAGTGCCCACCCCTGGAGTGGGTAAGGGGCAGCACCATCCAACACCAAAATCAGGAGACAGAGTGGGGGCGGGTGGTGTCCTAAAGGAAGGTAGGGGTAGTAGGTCCGTGCTGCTTCTAGAAGAGGGGCAAACCAAAAGCAAGTCTGTTGCCTCCCACCCCACCATTTCATTGCAAGTCTCTTAGCTCTTGCTCTTTCTTGTCTTATATTCACTCTGCCCTCCCCACCTCCCACTGCTGGATTAACTCTTTCTCACATACATCTCAAACCACGTCACTTCTCTGCTCATTAAGCTTCTATGACTCCTTTCTGCCCATTGAAGTAAAGCAGGCTGTCTGACTGGCGTTTCAACCAGTTTGTCTCAACCCATATCTCCTGCCCAATAGCTCCCTGCACCCTTCTGTGTGCACCTGCAGCCTCATACTAATACTCCCAGCTTCCAGGACTTCAGTTTGGAGATTCCCTCTAGGTGGAATTCTTCTTGGCACAGCCCATCTAAGCAGGATTCAGTCACCTACCCAGCCCAGGGAGAGCCCTTTTATTTCAATAGCCAGGACACTTCCTAATCAGAGAAGCTCTAGATTCACGTCCCAGCTCTGCTTCTTGCATGCTGTGTGAACTTGGGTCAGGGCATTCCTTCCTCTGTGCATCAGTTTTCTTGTCTATGAAACGGGGATCCTGACAGCCCCCGTCTCTGAGGGTGGCTGGGAGGGCTAGAAATATTACATCTAAAATGAGAGCACAGGCCCCTGATGTACACTGACTATCGTTACTGTTACTTTGTGTCACTGATTTTACTCTTATTGCTCTTATTATGATGACACTGTGCTTTCTCATGCCCCAGCTCAGCACACAGTAGGCATTCAGCCCTCCTAGGCTGGCAGGCAGTAAGCATCAGGCCCTGTGTAGGCACGCATTAGACGTTGGACCCCAGTGCACAGGCAGTAGGTGCTTAGTGCATGGTAAGAGGTGGTTAGCATAGTGATTGAAGGTTTGGGCTGCATCGGACGGCCTGGGTTCCAATACTTGCCAGTTGTGTGATCTGGAGCAGGTGAGTGACCCACCTGGACATCCCTTCTGCTATAATGTGGTCATTAGGAGGAGTAAGGAAGCAATTCCATGGTATCTAGGACATAGTTATGCTCCATAGATGTTAATTACTATGGTTGTTACCTTATTGGTGGAATTTAATCAATGTTGAAGTAGTGTATGTGGCCCGAGAACACCACGTGGTGGGGAGAAAAATGGGTAAAACTGCTGGAGGGTCTCTCGTTCCTCTGACAGAGCCTCCGGGAGGTAGGAGGAGCCAGGGCCCAGCTGACAGAGGTCGTAAGAAAGAAGCCATTTAGCAGACTGACTGGACACACGATCTCTCTGATTGAAGCAGAAAGGACTTCTAGACCACATACATGTGACGAGGCAGTGGCCTGGGCTATCTATGAAATCGTGTTCTGCTTTTGTGACTTAAGGTAATACCTGTTCCTTGTAGAATTTTCCAAAACCAAGACTAAGAAAAAAGAAGACAATAAAAATCAGATGTAGTTCAGCTATAGCCGTAGTTTTACTATGTGAAATTTGTTTACTTGTTTGCTCATTCCTTCCGTCATTTTCTTCTTCCTTTCTCTCCC